TCGAGAAATTAAATCTGCATTAAAATCTAAAGAGCAGATAGATAGGGATATTACTGGGGAAACTAGTGGGAGTCAAGCTGATGGCTTGTTTGTTCGGGGTAGATTTGAAAAGAGAAACACAGAAAATAGAAGTAGATCCAAGTCCAGACATAAAAATGTGGTGTGCAATTATTGTAAAAAGAAGGGTCATGTTATCTCTGATTGTTTAAATTGAAAAATAAAGAAAAGCAAAAGGGGAAATTTGTTGAGAGAAATACTGAATCCGCTGAAGCTAGTATAGCAGCTGATGAGAATGATGGAACCATTTTCTGTGCAACGGAAAATAATTTTAGGTCTAACAATGAGTGGATTTTAGATTCGGGTTGTTCATATCATATGTGTCCCAATAAGGACTGGTTTTCAACATATGAATCAACTGAAGGTGGAGTTGTCTTAATGGGCAACAACGCTGTTTGTAAAGTTGTTGGCAAAGGCACAATCCGGATTAAAATGTACGATGGTATTGTGAGGACGCTCACAAATGTTAGACATGTTCCAGATTTGAAGAAAAATCTCATCTCTTTGGGCACTCTTGAGTCTATCGGGTGCAGGTATTCAGGTGGAGATGGAGTTCTCAAAATCACTCGAGGAGCTCTTGTTGTTATGAAGGCACACAGATCTGGTACGTTGTATATTTTGCAGGGATCTACTGTTACAGGTGCTGCTGCTGTTTCAACATCATCTTTGTCAGATACAGACATCACCAAATTATGGCATATGCGTTTGGGGCACATGAGTGAAAAAGGCTTGGGCATACTAAGCAAAAGAGGACTTCTGTGTGGACAAAGTACCGGTCCATTGGAATTCTGTGAACATTGTATTTTTGGGAAGCAGAAAAGAGTCAGCTTCAGTTCACCAGCAATTCACAAGACAAAAGGTACTCTTGATTACATTCATTCAGATCTATGGGGTCCTTCTCGTGCTCCTTCTAAAGGTGGTGCCAGGTACATGTTGACTTTCATTGATGACTATTCAAGGAAAGTTTGGGTCTATTTTCTTAAGCACAAAAATGATGTTTTCCTAACTTTCAAGCAATGGAAAGTTTTGATTGAGAAACAAACAGGAAAAATGTTAAGCGGTTGAGAACAGATAATGGCATGGAATTTTGTGGAGGTGAATTTAATGAATTTTGCAAAAATGAAGGAATTGTTCGGCATCACACCGTCAGGATGACGCCTCAACAAAATGGTGTGGCCGAACGTATGAACAGAACTCTTTTGGAGAGAGCAAGATGTATGATCTCCAATGCAGAGTTGACAAACGACTTTTGGGCAGAGGCGATCAATATGGCCTGTTATATTGTCAACCGTTCTCCTTCTGCATCTCTTGATTTCAAAACTCCTGAGAAAGTTTGGTCAGGTACTCCTGCTGATTACTCCAATTTAAAAGTTTTTGGGTGTCCAGCATACATGCACGTGAATGATGGAAAATTGGAGCCTAGGGCTAAAAAGTACATTTTTCTTGGGTATGCTTCTGGGGTGAAAGGATACAGATTATGGTGTTCTGATCCCAAATCTCCAAAATTTGTAATCAGTAGAGATGTTACTTTTGATGAATTGTTTATGTTATCTTCCAAGAAGGAGTCTTCTAGTCCTTGTACTACTGATAGTACACAGAAGCAGGTGGAGCTTGATATTGGCAGTTCTGGTCCTTCTCAGTCCAAATCTTCTATTCAACAAATGCCAGTAGATACACCTGAATCTACTGTTGAAGATAGTTTAGAAGAAGAGGAGTATTCCATAGCCAGAGATAGAGCAAGGAGAGATATTCGACCACCACAAAGATATGCAAATTTAGTTGCATATGCTTTGTCTGTTGCAGAAGAAACTGATGCAGTTGGTGAACCTTCCACCTATTCAGAAGCAGTTTCTTGTGATGATTCTGCAAAGTGGTTGATTGCGATGAATGAAGAAATTGAATCTCTTCATCAGAATGAAACTTGGGTTCTTGTAAAGCCGCCGTCAGCTAAGAAAATTGTTGGTTGCAAGTGGGTCTTCAAGAAAAAGGAAGGTATTCCAGGGGTTGAAGATGCAAGATATAAAGCACGATTGGTTGCAAAGGGCTATAGTCAGGTACAAGGTGTTGATTTTAATGATATATTCTCACATGTTGTTAAATATAGCTCTATTCGTGTTTTGCTTGCTTTAGTTGCCATGTATAATTTGGAGTTAGAACAGCTCGACGTTAAGACAGCTTTCTTACATGGCGAACTTGAAGAACAAATTTATAAGAGACAACCCCAGGGTTTTGAAATTGAAGGTAAGGAAGACCATGTTTGCTTATTAAAGAAATCCTTATATGGATTGAAGCAGTCTCCAAGACAATGGTATAAGAGGTTTGATTCCTTTATGTTGGGTCATGGTTATTTGAGGAGCATGTATGATAGTTGTGTTTACTTCCGGAAGTTAAATGATGGTTCTTTCATTTATTTGCTGCTTTATGTTGATGACATGCTCATTGCTGCCAAGAATTTGTCAGAAATTCACACATTGAAACTGCAGTTAAATAGTGAATTTGAAATGAAAGATTTAGGAGCAGCTAAGAAAATTCTTGGCATGGATATCAATCGAGATCGAGGAGTAGGGAAGTTGTTCTTGACCCAGAAAAATTACCTTGAAAAGGTCTTGGAGCGTTTTGGCATGAAAGATGCTAAATCAGTATCTACTCCTCTTGCTAGCCATTTTCGGCTATCTGCTGGTCAATCACCAAAATCAGATGAAGAGGAAGATTATATGGCACGGGTTCCTTATTCCAGTGCAGTCGGCAGTATTATGTATGCAATGGTTTGTACTCGTCCAGATATTGCACAAGCAGTCAGTGTTGTTAGCAGATATATGTCTTGCCCTGGTAAAACACATTGGCAGGCTGTGAAGTGGATTCTCAGATACTTGCGAGGTACTTCAAATGTATGTTTGGAGTTTGGAAGAAATAATAACACTTTGGTTGGTTTTGTAGACTCAGACTACGCTGGGGATCTTGACAGGAGAAGATCACTTTCAGGCTATGTATTTTGCATTGGCAGTTGTGCTGTTAGTTGGAAAGCTACTCTACAACCTGTCGTAGCTTTGTCTACTACTGAAGCAGAATATATGGCTGTGACCGAGGCAATCAAAGAAGCCTTGTGGTTGAAGAGTTTATTTAGCGAGCTAAGTCTATATCAAGGTGTTACTGATATTCACTGTGATAGTCAAAGTGCCATACACTTGACTAAAGATCAGATGTATCATGAGAGGACGAAACACATTGATGTGAAGTATCACTTCATTCGGGATATCATTGCTGAGGGAAAGGTCCTTATTCAAAATCAATACCAAGGACAATCCAGCCGATATGTTTACGAAACCTCTTCCAGTTTACAAGTTCAAGCAGTGTTTGGACTTGATTGGTATTCGTTGTTGGTGATTTAAGCCTATTGAGGCTTATGTGGAGAAGGTGGAGCAGTTTTTTTAATGGGATCCAAAATTATGCCAAGGTGGAGATTTGTTGACTTTTCAACGCCCACCACGGTTGAATTGGTGGCAAAATTTTGCATCCCACATCGACAAAGGCTTGAGGAAAGCCTTCTCTGGTTTCCTATAAATAAGGGAGTCTATTGAAGGATCAACTCGCACCACTCAAGAGAGTTATATGAGCTATTAGCTTCTTGAGTCATCTAACCCATTTAGTCAAATATTTTAGGCTCTCTTGTTTTGAGTTTAGGAATATTTTCTAAACTCTTTTGTAAGTGCCTATTGGCCTAGGAACCACTTTCCTACGGCTTTTGTATTTCTTCTTTATAGTAGAAATATTGCTCCTCCCTCGCCCGTGGACGTAGGTCAATTTGACCGAACCACGTAAATCTTTTGTGTCTTTTATTTGCTTTGTTATCCGTCTTTATATGGTCGGTTTTACCGCCTAATTATTATATGGCTGGTATCTACCGCCTATCTATTATATGGTCGGTTATACCGCCTAATTTGTGCTAACTTGAGTTTGTCTATTTCCTGGCCCGGTCCTAACACAAATACATGCACATATAAAGAATGAATGGAAGACGGAACAGGTTTATATATTTATACTACTAAGTAACGACTGTTTATTACAGCACAACAAATATAATAGGTTTGTGTTGCATCAGTAGCTTAGGAACTAAGGATGCTCATGCAATGAGAAGTATACGTTATAATTGATAGTATATCCATTATATCTATTGAATAATTAATGGAGAACTAGATAGCTTTAGAGTAAAATTGTGATTGTTATGTTTTGCTGTAACTAGAGAGTAACGAGCATGTAATTGAAATGTAAAGATTGAATAGGTGAAAAAAGGTAAATTGCAGTAAAATGTCTAGTCAGAAAATCAGCAGAATAAGACACAAAAGTTTTTTAATTTTAGCTGTAAGTTCCAAGAAAGGGAATCAAACACTAGCGCCATAGTTCCCCTAGTAAAATAAAATACCAAATAAAATAAAGGTGAAAAGAAAGGGATCAAGCATAGGTAGCATGGCTTCTCCAGCATAACACAGTGCTGAACAAAATCTAATTGATAACAACGTGCAATAGTGCTAACTATTCGTGGTTATCAATACAAAAGTAAGTAACAGCAATCTAAATCAGCTTTGCCTTCTTCTTGGAGCTTTCAGTGGCACTGTGGGAACTACTATTGCCTTCATCAGCTAACACTTCAAATTTTTCAGTAGACATTGTCTAGCCTTTGAAGCTGGTTTGGTTTCTTTAACAGGTGCAGATCCTGTAGCAAAATCAATTTTGTTAAGAAAGGCAAAATAGTAAGAACAACGATAAATAAACATTTATTCAATTGTTTAATAGAAGTAGAAGAACAAAGGATTTTTTGAACTAATGTTTGTGAACTATTATTTCTGGTTTGAGAAGGAAATAAATGCTCTGTTGATGGCATTGGTACTGTATAAGGTTACTGTTCAGCTGCTTATACCTGAAGTGTTGGTGGTAGCAGTGTCAGCCTAGAGATCGATTAATAAAGTATCAATTTTTCCTTGACTCGGCGATTGAACAGCATTAGTATTGAGAACCTCAGAGTAGTAGATAATTGTATAACGCTGCTTTGCATCAGCCATTTGAGTTTGCACTGGTTTTATGTGCACCAGAAACCACTTTGACTCCAGCTCCTTATGGACAGCCTCGAGAGGAAGTTCAATGTTCTTGGAAAGGAAAACATGAAGGAAAAAAATAAGGAAATGAATAAGGATTATATGCACAATAAGATGGCTACTGCAATAAGAATTAAATGAAAATAATAATAATTGGCAGTCGTTTTTTTAAAGGAGAACATGCCTGCTTAAAATGGTCCATTATTTCAAAAGTAGTGAAGGTTAGCAGCTTTTCTGCTTGTTCTCCAAAGACAGAAGCTATGATGGCACCAGTATGATCACATAAATCCATATCAAAGCGACACCTATAGATGCATGTAAATTTCAGCGAGGTATGTCTATTAAACAAAAGGTCAATAATGAGCGAGCGGAACTTATATGCTAATGAATTTTAAAGTAAATACCTAGGCTGAGCAGGATGCTTTTCTTTGCATGTATTACACATAAAAATAACTCCATCTGCAGCAGCAGTACCCCGGCAGCATTTTTTACAGCTCATAAACCAGTATTTTTGGAATATGTGCTGAAAAGAAAACCTTGCTTTAACCCATATATTCTAAAAGCAAACATTGAAAGGCACTGTTTTAACCGATATGTTAATATGTAAATGGATAGTCAAATAACAGATTAGAGGAAAAAATACTGAACCTTCTGTGATGGTCTGACATTTGAAATTAAAGTGGTTTTCTGATCTGGTTTCACTGATATGTTAGGGTTACACTTAATATAGCTTTTTTCATCAATGATTGCTGCAAGTAGGTTGGTATTTCTCATCGCCCTGTGATAGACTAGATCGAAATAGTAATGGAAACAATTGATTATAGATGATCAATTGGTTACATGACATAAATAATTATTCAATACGAGTTCTTTAATTCTCTTGCTTCCTGTACAGGAGGGTCAACAAGGATCGCCGAATCAAACCATGTCGACAGTGCAACTCCTATAGAATTAAGAATGATGATACGTTGCCAAGGTTGGTGTATCAATTTTTTCATGGAAATGGGAATTAAAACAAAGATGTACAGACACAGAATTACTATTATAGTTGCTAACTTTCAGCTTGTGACATATGATGACAGGGTAGTTGTGTATGTCAGCTAATATCTGCTGGCCTTCATTCTTAATGAAATCGTCTCACATGGAAAGCATGATAGTTTGCAATCTAATACGAAGACAATAGGCAGCTGTTAAGATAGATAAGACATATAAAAAACAATGAAAATAGAACTAAGTAAAAGTTTCAAGAGCAGTAGAAAGGGAAGGTTACTGTTCATTGACAAGGACGAATTTCTAAACAATACATTCTTTGAAATTTTTATTAATGATCCTGCTGTCTTGTGCTTGAATAATAATTCGAAGGACATCTGTGAAAGGGAAACGTTTTTGTAAAAGCTATTCTAAGCCAGAATTCATGATACATTTGTAATACACTACATACATACCCACAGATTTATCCTTATGATCCATGTACTGTGCCAAGTCTGTGAATTGAGTGCAGTTAAATTTGACAGGCATTATATCTTTGTCATCAGCATCCTCTTCAATGACAGTTTTACTAGTGAGCATCCATTGTATTATCAGTTCAGCTGTTTGATATTTTGGGTGAATTGGTCTAACCACAGCATTCGTTATTCTGTATTTTCTGTAGACCTGCAAGATTGGTCCGACCGTAGCAATGTCATGGTTGAAAATAATGCCTTCAACTTTTGATCCCTGTTGCATAAAGAAAAATGTTCAAGAATTAATCGGCTGTGAATACGAATAGAATATCAACAGAAATTTTAAATGCAGAGGTCGTATCTAGCTACCTCTGCATCAACAAAAATAAATTTTTACTTCTTTGCTGGCGTCGACAGTGATTGGGTAACCTGTTGTTTTTCCTGAACAATTACTTTGCATGACCAGTCTTGCATATCAGGTACAATTTCTTTTATGGATAAGAGCTTGTCCATGCAGAATGGAAAACAATAAAGGAAATATCTATCAAATGTGAGTATGAATAGAGAATGGTATTGCAAGTATTATAACAACTAAATAATAATTATGGAGAACAAACCTTAACTTTAAATAACTGTAACATGCAGTGCTAGTGTGCAGTTAGCTGAAGTATTTCCTGAAATACTACACTTCTAGTTTTGCAATCTATTTTTATACCATCAAAAGTTCCAGGTAGAATAAGGACTTTAAGTACTGCAGAAGTTTTAACTCTAGATAAAGCAACATATAGTTGGCCGTGAGAAAAAACTGGTTCGCGAAGGTAGATTAAAACATAATCCAGTGTTTGGCCTTGGGATTTGTTGATTGTTAAGGCAAAACAAACACGGACAAGAAATTGTGTTCTTATAAATGACAGGCCATTCTTGTCATCATCAGACACTTGTAAAGGAATTTTAGGGAGGAAAATTCTTTTTCCTTGATGCTGACCAAAAGCAATCTCTACACAGATAGTATTCTGCCTCAGCTCTATACAAATGAGTCGTGTACCATTGCACAATCCTTCTGTAGGATTCAGGTTTCTTATAAGTATGATTGGACAATTTTCTTTGAGCAGCAGCTTGTGAGGAGGAAGGCCTTTTGGATTTTGAGAATTCAAGAAATCTTCATAGTCTCCTTGATGGCGTGGATCAATGGTTCTATCAGAACTGACATAGACATCTATTGAGCTATTTATTGACATAGACATAGACATCTATCAGAACTGACATTTATTTCATCCATTGAGCTATTTTTTGGAGTAAGGACACATCTATTGATCATACCATAAGGATCTTTTGAATACATAGTTAAATCAGGAAAAACAGATTCAAGCAACCTGTTTGTAAGAAAGCTAAGTAAGAATATATACATATTCAACTATAGAGGAAAGACCAGATAAAAGTAGGACTTGGAAGGGAAAATTCCTTAACCTGTTCAAAGATTCTTCTTTTTCGGTATAAGGAATGACTATCTCAGAAGGTAAATTTATTTCACCATGACTATCAACAGCTTCTCTTCCTTCTCCTATTCTCAATAGGAATTCTGAGAATGTTGGATCTAAGATGGCTCGCATATTTTGTACTAGCTGGAGCTTTTGCATGGAAGACCACAAATGAGAGCTAGGAAGACTAGATTCTATAAGAACCTGTTTTGTAGCTTGTCTGATAACTGGCAAAGTTTGACGAAAATTGCCACAGAAAACAACCATTTTTCCTCCAAATGGAACGTCACAGTCCATTATATCTCCAAGCAAACCATCAAAGGCTTCAACAGTTTCTCGTTTGCCCATTGAAGCCTCGTCCCACAAGATTAACCTTGATTGAAAAAGTAATCTTGCAACACTGCCCTGTTTACTAATTTGGCAGGTTTTATTTCTAGAAAAATCTAATGGTATGTTAAATCTAGAGTGGGCTGTTCTTCCTCCTGGAAGAATAGAGGCTGCGACACCTGACGTTGCAACCGCAATGGCAATGTGGCCTTGGGATCTCAAAGTAGCTAGAAGTGACCTATATAGGAAGGTCTTTCCAGTTCCTCCAGGGCCATCAATAAAAAAACTTTGGCCAACATGAGAGAAAACTAACTGGAGAATTAAATCATAGGCATGCCGTTGTTCAACATTCAATCTAAAAGGCATTAGAAGATCCTCTGCCAGAACTTCAATACTCCTCTCACATTCGATTTCCTTTGTTAGCTGATCAGAGTGAACATCTGCTGAAGTGTGTGCAGCTAAGTGGTAGTCAGCAAAGCTTTTACCCATTTGTTTGACCATTTTTTTAATTTCCTGTAGGACCTTATTTCTGATTTCTTCAGCCGTATAAAAACAAAGATGTTGGGATCGCTGGTAATCTGCAGAGAGATTTAGCTGAAATTTGTCCCAAAGAAACTGAGGATCTGCTGGAGCACAATGAACAAGAGTAGTATCAAATAACAGTCTCAAAGAGGATGGCATTTGGAAAACAACTGCTTCTTCAAGAGTCTCTTGTATATATGTATCAGACTGTAAAAGTCCAAGGGCCAAAGCAGCATCTCTAAAGCAATTCATTTTTTGGCCATTAATAGTTAACAGGTCATCAAATGACGTAGGTGCTCGAACATGAGTTAGTAGGAGTCTAAGGTAATATCTCTCTCCTTCACGAGGGCTGACCGTGACCAGCCTTCCAATGGCTTTTTTACGCTTTCTCTCAGTCCAAGCTTTAAATTTAAAAGACCAAACAAAATGTTCTGGAAATTCTCTATAAAAGCACTTCAACGTTTCAGCCTTTGCATTCGTTTTGTTCATCTTGAAGAACTCGGTTAACATGGTCTTTGAGAAGTCAATTTTCCTCAGTGGCTGTAAAAGGTCTGAATTTTTGTTGAAAGTGATAAGCTGCTGCCCAGGCAGGTGAACTTGGAGAGTATAGACAGCTGGAGTCATCTCATTTAGCCTAAATTCAAAGATGCGCCAAAAAGCCTCAGGAGGTGAAATCCATCTTCCCTGCTGGAATTCTTTAATTTCATCGACATCAGCACGGGAATCATCAGATATAATTTTGAAACTGATAAGATCATGTCCTTTAAAGACGTACTTGTATAAATATTTAACCAGCTTCAAAGTAGAACAGATTTCTACATTCATGTGGCAATCAAACAAGGCTAAAAGATAAGGATTATAAGGAATAATCCATCTATTGTCAAGTTCAAACCTGCAGACAGTTATCTTTCTGCCATTATCCCTTCTCATATAGTATGGATAGCTGTCTTCAGCATGAGTTGTGTGTTCATAGAAGTTTTTTGGATAATGATTTTTACAGCTACCATTTTTCATACAAGGGCTATTCCTGCCCATGTCCCCGCAAGGTCCATGAACCATGTGTTTAAGAACAAAATAATACAAATGAGGGAACTGCTTAGGATCAGGGAGCTCAGCAGAAACTATTCTATCGTATGATTTAGGATTAAGCAGCTTGAATTGTGGTCTCAAGATTAATAACAAGTGAGTATGAGGAAAGCCACGTTTCTGGAATTCAATAACGTAAACGCATGCAGCGACCTCTCCAAAAATTTTTCTGTCTAAAAGTTTAGCCTTGAGCATTTCAAATTTTGCCCTGAATACTCTAGACAAAAGATCTGGCCTATCCTGAGGTTTTTCTTTAAATTGCAGATTATCCTGAATTTCTTTCCACATTGGATTACATGTCATGGTGAGGAAAATATCCGACTTTCCATATTTTTGTACTAATGACATTGCATCAAGATATCTCCGCCTCATATCTCTTGGCCCACCGATAAAAGAAGCCGGTAATATCATCTTCCGACCAACTTTTGAGCCTTCACTCTGACCAATGGAGACACTATCCAGTACTCCTGCAAGGATTTCTGTCCGAATGTCATTTTGCCTCTTGTGCTGAAAATCCAGTCGAGACGTTTCAATTTTTACATAGGAATCAACAGAAAATTGCTGTAGCAATCTAAGAGTATGCAATAGCATGGATTCATCATTTTTCCTTATCTGGAACCTATAGCAGTAATACTCTCTAGCTGATACAGTATGTTCGTCCTTCTTTCCATGGTCAGCAGCTATAGGAAATGAAAAATGCTACATGTAAACAAAAGTTTATTTTGATAACCGTGGAATTGGGAAATTACAAAAGCTAGGAGATGTACTTGCCTCTCTTCTAAATCCATAAGTTGGGATGGTTCCTGTACAGAAGAGGGATCAATGATAACCTTTTCATCATAGGAATGATCAGTTCGCTTTCTTTTACAGGCTCGTTTAATTCCGTGGTGCCATCCAGATTCACCACGAGAAAATAAGAGAGGATACTGCAAAGGGTCATAACAAGCATAATAATGCTGGACCTTGTGAGCAGCATTTGAGTGGCTATAAATGAGAATATGCGCTTGCTTATCGACTGATTCATCATCATGTTCAGTCCATATAGCGGCAACTTGAGAAGTAGAAGGAAGATTATAGATACGCTGGTCAAGGCCAGGAAAACAGTTAAGCACAATATTATGCTTTTCAAGATCTGGAATATCCCTTAGATCCTTAAAGAATCTAGCATAAGGATTATGAGAAAGTATGTCCATCAGAAGCTTTAAAGTGCTCTGACGTAGCTTATCAGAAGCAGCGACTTGCTTGATCAATTCTTCATCGGTATAAAAAAAGTAGAGATGGATCCCACAAGGCTTATGATCAGGCTGTGACAAACTGTTTAAAAAATGATAAACCTGTCCCTGAACACGAAAGGTATACACTCCCATTGCATTCCTTGTTAATTCTACGTCATACTTTGCAGCAAATGAGGTGAAGGACAAGTTATTGTTATAAGTACGAGGCAATCTTCTAAAATGCTCGCATTCCTCATCATTTCCTATAAACAAACGCTTTAGAGCGTAAGGCATTGCAGGAGCAACAATAGAAATTTCTCCTTGGGAACAGCAAAAGCTAGGGGGTTCCAAATGAAATCTTTTAGCTCCACAATATTGACAATCAGGAGCATCAGGCAGCAATAAAGATTCTTTAGGAATTTCATCAATCTTAGATTTTTTTGAGTGACGGCGTCTAGTAACTGGCCCTGCAGTTTAGGTTATGTAATGGGAACGATGCTGATAAGGAAAGCTGAAAGAAGTATAATATGAAGGGAATATGGGGAAAAAGTTCAGAAATAAGACAAACAAACAAAGACCAACCTGATTGCCTCCTCCTTGTCAATATAATGTTTGAATAATCGCTTACAGTAGCCGGAAGAGCAACAGCACAATCAGATGATTTGCTGGTCTCGTTGGTGTTGCCTGGCAAATGGTTCTATTATTCTAAGAAAGCAACTGTTTGCTCTTAAAGTAACAGGACATCTATAATTGTACAATCGTGAATTCTAATACGCTGGAAATAGCACATAGAATTGTCTTAGATGGGGGTAATTATTTTTTTTAAAAGATAGAGGTCGAACACTGAAAGGAAGAAAAAAAATTAAGAAAGTGAACGAATAATACCTGTACGTTGAGCAGGTCTAAAAGAGTCAGTTTCGAATGTAACATGAGAAGACATATCATGCTCACATAAGTGGTCTAAGGACGAAGTAGCAGAAGAGGCAAGGAATCTAAAATTTGACCCATCAAAAAGTTTAAAGATGCTAGTCGAACCTTCAGTAGGAGGATGGCAGGATTGTTCATTTTCGTTAAGGCCTGCAATGGTCACTACAGGAAAGTAGGCCTTTTGTGACATTTTCGCTGCGACACAAGGAGAAAATGCAGCAAATAAACTGCACATTTCAAATTTTGTGGCAAAGTTGACAAAGGCGCATAATTTTTGTGGCAAAACGACGTAGTTTTAATGAATCTAGAAAAAGGTATTAAAAAAAAAGGGGAAACCGGCTTTCACTTCCAATGTCTCCATTCTCTGCTAATTACAAATCTCCCACACTTCTTTCTTCCAAATTCTAAATTCTGATTCCGAATTCCCAATGAACTTATCTCGCTCTCTCTCTCTCTCTCTCTCTCTCAAATGGTCAAACCTAATTCCACCTCCTGCATTTTCCTCCCAATACGGCCAACGAATATGGGGCAACCAGCTTCATCTTTGAGATACAAAGGAATTCCAGAAGAATAGACAGATTGATTGCTAATTGGTTTCGACGCCTGAAGCTAGGGTTTTAACACGAGGAAGATAGACCTCCTCCATTTTTATTCTCAGCAGTTGAAATCGATTCCCAATTGCAGTGCTTCTCCATGTAATTTTGATCATCGGTGAACTAATTGTAGCTTTGAGAGAACTTACCTAACAATTTTGCTAGCTATTCTGGTTCAAAAGCAAGGTAACTAAGCTTAATTCCTTTGCAATTGTTTTTCGCTTTATTCATTTATTTTATGGTAAAATCAGTGAATTTATTACTTGCCCTTAGTGCTCGGGAGTTTATAGACTTTTGTGGTTATTTTATGTATTTTTTGTAATTCTTTAGAATATTTAATGTGACTTAAGGGGAGATAATAGGAGTTTACTCTCGTTTTAAAGAGTCCAGCCCATATTACAGATGGAAATGAAATCGCCTGAGAAACTCAATACAGTCGTTGTCTTGAAACAGCCAGATAGCAGCCGTTGGCAGAAGGTACATTTGAGGCTTAAGTGCACTCCATCCTCTGGTTTATATATTTGTCCGATTATCATGCTACTGATATTAGGTGTTATTTGTAATTCTGTCATAAATGCTTGTAAACAAATCTCCCTATTCTTGGAGACTGGGATCACACAAATAGTTTAGGAGAAATCCCAACTTTGGAGCATAATCATTTCAAGAAAGTGGAAAATGGCAATCAAGTATTGCTGTTTTAGACCAAGTAATTCCTGATTTAATCCTTAAAAATGGTTACAAGGCATTCAAACTACTTAAAAATGCACTTGCTTATGGTAGCAAGAATTTTTGCTTCACACTATGACATGGTATGATAATATTGTAACACAAAATTGTTAAGCATGATTGCCTCTACGGGTATAATAGTAGGCCCACCTTCTCTCATTATTAGCTTGGTGTTTGTGTTATTTACATAACTTCTATCAGGACTGACACTAAGTATAACCATTCTATCTTGCAGTCACCCAGGAGAGATTGTTGTAGAGTTTTGCCATCTAAAAGGAGTACAAATATATATATATATATATATATATATATCTGGGTAGGCAAATGCAGAACGGATAAGGTGTAGTAGAAGCAGCAGGCAAGAAATTCAGCTAGGCATCTATTCCCTTTTCGTTTTCCTTTAATTTCAGTGGACATTGTTGCTGGAATTCGATTGCGATTGAGTGGTGAGAATTGAGAGAGTTGAAAGTATTGGATTTAGGCTGGAAATTAGAATTAAGGTGCTTTCTAAAAGAACCATAGGATCCTCAAATTGGGATTATTGGTTGCATACTTTCTCATTTCTTAAATTTTTGGAATACACTGGATATATAACTGCATTATAAATATTCAGTTATTCAATGATGGGCCAACTAGGTACCATCAGCAATATAGTCATAAAACGGAACATGTATGTATAAGCTATCAAATCTATGCTAATATATGAAACTTAGTTTTGGATGTTAAACGTTGTTACTAAACAAATCACTGACTGGAGAATTGAAAAGAATGCTGCCAATGTTAAAGTCAGCTACACAATTTCTACAATAAGCCTTGGAGTTCAATAGCTTTATGGAATTCAGTAATCATGCAGTTTTTAGTCATGTGTAAAATTATGATATATGGATTCAAGTCATGCAAAATAGAGGATGGAAAATGCTTTTAATGGTATTGTTAATTATTCTTTTATCGTTCATTTTTTTTTCTGAATATGTTTGTGTGAAATGTAAATTCTTTTAGCTTTCTCAGGTCCAATGACAAGTTAAATTGCTAACTTTCTTGGCCACTGAATGGACTTTCATGGCAGGTTAGGTATCAACTCATCCATGTATGGGCTCATCTGTAGTTAAGTGGCCCACTGAATGGTAGCTAACTATTTGGTTAAGGATGGTTGAATACGAAATAGTAGCTAATTTAATTTTTGCCAATTGAGTGCAATTCTGTGTTCACTGAGTCATTGACAAATTTCGCCATTTCCTCCTTGGCTTCAACATACCATTTAATAATTGGTGTTCTTGGTATTTAGTAAAATTCAGTTTCATTTTAAAAGAAAATTCCTTATTTACCAAATATTACTACCTGTAGCAACTTTGGTTAATTCTTTTTGTAAGAGTTACCAGTTTCTTATATGTGTGTGTTAATTCTGCCCAGATTAATACATGCAATGGCTTCTAGTTGGCTATTTCCCAAATAAGCTTATAAACCCAAGATGCGGACTGAAGACTGGACCGGCTGGTTGGTTTCCCATCTCCAACGATGCAGTTATTACTAATTAGACCCATATTATTGCTCGTTGGCATTAATTTCATGTCATTCCCCATATGATTGATGCCCATGATACCACCACTAAGCTGATTTGACATCATCATTTCATGTATGATTTTTTGAACAGAACTCTGGGAATCATTTGCATCTGTGTCACTGGAAAATGTTGGCTGTTGCATTGCAATGTTCGGTGAACTAGCAGAATTCATGTGTGTTCCGGTCGGTAAGCCACCAAGTGAAGTCTGTGGAGGATTGTTAGATGATGATGCTTTTGGAGACTGGAAAGGAGAAGGATTGAGTTGCGGTTGTAGTAAGGTACTCAAGGAACACTTGGAGATGGCATCTGAACACCATTTCCTCCATAAGGACAGTTTGCACTACTCTTCCGGTTTTTGCTGTCTCGAGTTCATTGAGTTTTGATGACGCAGCCCACATATATATGGCACTGGTAAAGGAAGTTGCAGGAGCCGAATTCAGTGGATTATTTACATTTGCCATGCCATTTCTGGAAGGAAGTTGCAATTATTATGAAAATTGTTTCAATGTGGCCTAACCATATTGAAACGCGATGGCTTTTGCAAAATTGGTTGGAATTAGGAACTACTTGTACCTTTTAGAATTAGGTTATAATGATGAATTTGGAAATTTGCAATGATTGTTTCCATTTAGATAGTGAATTGAATTAACACTTGAAAAGGGAATGTACTACAAGCATGGGAAATAATTCATAAAAATATGCAAAAAGTGTAAATCACTTCAGTGCATCTGTTTATTGAAGGAGACTATTTGTGATGCAATTTTTGTGTCGCATGATTTGCCGCGCAATTTTTGTTCTGCTTGCATATTTTGTGGCACTAATATGTGTCGCTAATTGTGCGGCAAATACTTGCGACACATTTAAAATAAAGTGTCGTTTTCTTTTGTAACGGCTACTTTTGAGGCACAAAGGACTTGCGTCGCAAAAGCATCACAAATACTTTTTTGTGGCGATTTTTGGACTTTTTGCAGCACATTCTTGGCGTCGCAACAAGCCAAATTTCTTGTAGTGGGTAGCTTGCGAAAAGGGAGATGCTGCTGCAGACAGACGACGGAGATGCTTTTGCTTAGAACAGTGGTTATGAGGTAAACAATGGGAAGGGAGAAGCTCGTTCTATTTTCTTTTTTGAGAACGATTCTATGCAGAACATTTCTTACGGGGGACTATGCTTCTGCACGAAGCTGCAGTAATGCAGCGATATAGATGGTCTTATATATATAGGAATAGCAGACAAAAGATGATGATATCAGGAGCGAAAAAGAAACATAACGAAAAAGATTCCCAAGTGCTGCAATACCTGTACCTTGACAGATGTTCATAGATGGAAGATTGAATGCAGCAGAAGAAGAAAGACAGTTTCTGGAAAGGAAATTTGAAGGCGCTGAATTGAGAGAGCTAAGGGGCTGAAAGTTTAAGGTCTTAACAGCGTTAGAGGTGATACGGGCATTTTCATTAAGAGCATCTGGAGTTTGTTGATTCTGGTTGGAGCTTGTAACAATGCTATCTGAAGGGTGATCCAATGTTTCAGACAGGGAATTTCTATGGCTCGGGTCAGAAAGATGAACAGTAGTTGAAAGATGAGGAGAGAAAGAGGCTTGCTCTTTCATCTTTGTAGCAATACAAGCCGACTGATGTTGCCTAAGGCGAACTGTGCCATCCAGGAGAATTGCTGCAAAGTGAACAAATAGATGGCCTAACTTGTATCAGAGAAGTGCAGAGAGAACGAAGGCTGGAAAAGATGCCAACATGGGGAAAACAATTAAAGAGCTAAATGGCTCAGGGGCAGACAGCTAGTCTAGGACCACGGAATTTATACCTTCTGGAATGAAATTACACTGTACTAAATGCGGGACAACAGAAGAGGAAGCAGCTCCACTGGATAGGCACAGTGAGGCAGGTATAGCGGTAGACATATAGTTCAACGATTCTTCAGGCGCAGCAGGATGATGATCAACAATCTGATTGTGACCACCTACTAGCTCGTCATTACAAGCAAGAGCAAAATCAGAGAAACAAACACCAGTTTCAACATGTCCGAACGGGACCCTACGAAGATAAGAGCGCGATGGTTTCTCCTTTTTCTTAAGAAGCCTGGCCTCACGCCTCCGACGTGAAAGGGCAGCCTTATCATCGGAAGACATTTTCGCGTAACGCTTGCGGCGCAAAGCATTTCTATCCATCTCACTAAAAGAGCTAAGAAGGAACAGCCCGAATATAATGAATTTGTGGGAATCGACAGTAAGTATAAAAGAACATAGCAGAATCCAAACTAAAGAAGACGACAAACGTGTGTTGTTCTAAAGAAGAGAATATAAAAAATTATATAATAAAGCGATGATAACATGCATGGACCACAGCTACACTGCAATAATGTAGCGAGGGAAAGCAATAAAGCAAGCATGCATATTGTAAAGAAGGCATGCATGTTAGAGAAAAGGCGTAAAGTGTGAAATGACCAGGAAGGGGGGAAAAACAGCCATATACACAGGCTGACGTAATACACTATTAAATAACACATCTTTATATCCTGAAGCTAATCTTCAGGATCTATTCCCTAGAAGAAAATGGTCAGTTGGAACCCCATATTTTTTACTCCATTGCAGGGCTCACTGTGAAGTTTATGATAGCAAAGGAGAGAATACCAATTAGCAAAGATAGGTGGTATTCCGCTGAGGTGAATGAGTCATAAATGCCCAAGATAGCAAATGTACAGATAAGTTCGACTAAAGGGCCCCTTTCTTTTTTGCGACCGAGGCTATTTAAATCGAAGCTACAAGAAAAATTCAAGATTTACAGATTGGGTTCTGAGAAAGAAATTAGAGGCATCTCTAATTGGGCAAATATCACTACAAGACATGTCCACGTAATGCATTCGTCGCAGCGCATTTCTAGCCATCTCACTAAAACAGCTATGAAGGAACAGTCCAAGAGCTAAGAAGGAACAGTCCAAATATAATGGATTTGCCGGAACTGACAGTAAGTACAAAAAAACATAGCAGGATCCAAATTAAAGAAGACAAGAAACGCACGTTGTTGTAAAGAACAGAATCTAAAAAACTATATAACGAAACGACGATAACATGCATGGATAGCATCTACACTGCAAGAATGTAGCAAGGGAAAGCAATAGAGCAAGCATGCATATTGTGAAGAAGGCATGCATGTTGGGGAAAAGGTGTAAAGCGTGAAATGACCAGGAAGGCGAAAAAACAGCGACCAACCGATACAGGCACAAAGAAACAAGCATCTAACCTGCAAGGGAATTTCTGCCAGAACACATAAGAGAAGATGAGCTCCATAGCAGGCTCCACGCAAGGACAAAAATGCGGCCAAATTCGACAAACAAGTACATCAAAATAAAGCTGTAAAAGAAAAAACGACGCCCACAGTAACATGAGATGCTAGAAAGGAAGGAAAAAGGCAGGAAAGGTTTTCTTTGAAAAAAATGAGCTCACCACCAAAGCAAAGGCATATATCGACCAGCATTTATTAGCAGGGGAAGGGGGGAAAAAAGAACAAAGTTAGTGGGAAAAATGGGCCAAGCTTGCACAGTTCATAAGCAGCAATAGCAAAAAAGCATATAGACCGATAAATGAATGACTTACCGAGACAATGTTGCTGGAGCAGGCGAATAGAAACGAAAGGCTCAAAAGAACAGACCAACAAGCAAAGGAAGGAAAGCCAAACCAAGTTTATAACTGAAACAATAGAATGGAGGAGGGAAAATGGTAACTGAAAGCGTAAAGCAACTACAAAGCATGATAACATCTGAAAAATCCAGAATACAAAGAATGGAGCGGTTCAATGGCGGTACGGAGAAGGACATTGGAAAATATCAGAGTCAAAGAAGAGAGGCCTGTCTGAAAATCTGCATAGTGGCTAAGCATTCTTTTGACATATATAACCCAACAACAACAAAACTAAGTCAACTCACAAAAAAAGAATATAAATAAACATGTAAATCAAGGGTAAATAGGTAATTCACGAGCTGTCACATTGACTGATGAATACCAAAAATCTGACATTAGGTAAAAGTGAAAGGGAAGTTAATCTCACAAAAGACCTGACATTAGGTAAAATTGAAAGGAAAATTGCATCATTATCATCAGCAGAAGGCAAACATTATTATTTATTATTATTTATCACCACTATCGGTCCATTATTATTTATCACCACTATCGGTCCATTGCTCGGTTCCATGCAAGCGGCAAAATTTTTTTTATAGGCAGAAGTCCATTTTTTTGGCTCCATACAAGCAGTCAAAACACAACCCATTCATTCAAAACGCAGCCAACACCGCAAAGCAAGCATTGAGCACGTGGAGGAGGAGGATGACAACATTTCCACCCATCACAAAGCGACACATCAGCACCACACAGACGATTTGGCAACTTTCCTAAGCACTTAGTCTATATATGGTTGATAATTTCTCCAAGAGACATACTTGACATGGATGATGGTTGTTATTATTGATATTGATATTGAAAACATGTTGGTCTTGATACATAATTATAGTTGGAGTTATCCTACCATCCTTGATTATACCCGTTTGAATAAGGGTCATGCCACGCTTGAGATAGGAATAAAAAATCTCTAAAAGTATTGATTGGAGCACTCAGATCATCTTGAAATATGGGGCACATGTTGGTTGAATGATCCGAGACATAACAAATTTCACAGGTTGCAATAATCAATTTTTCTATATAAGAAGTTAGTGTATCTAAAAGTTGATCATTAGGAAAAACACAAATCTCATTACCCCCATAGGAATAAAATCCAGTTTATTACCAAAATACTGAATGTTAGCAGCCATAAACTAATAAAAATAATAATAAGAGAAAAATAAAAAAATCAAGATAAATTAAAAAAACAAATAAACCAACGTCAATCCTCGATAACGGCGCAAAAAATTGACAAGTGTC